ATGCAAATTATTCTGCCAGCTAAATGTGCTCACCAATATTTGGAAAACTGACATGTGGAAAATTGAAGCAGAGATCGTACCTTTACCGCCTCTGGGTTTATTTTAAGTCAGATATGGAGAGGTAAGGATTTTTGCAGAAGTGGTTCCTCCTTTAGTGGTGTAGCGATGATTTTTATTTCACCTTTTGTGTGTGTCTAGAATAACTGGGGCGTAGGCCAGGCATACAGGAGTATGGGGGCTGAGAGGATTTGCCAGAGACAGAATGGGGAGCAGAACAGGCAGATCTACTATAATGTACTGCTAAGGGGAATAGCCAGTGAGACAGAAGTCTACTGTGCCATGTATGGGTTAGTTCCCTGGCTGGGATACAATACAGGTCATACCGGTGACAGCACTGAGATTTAACTCCTAACTCATCAGGGAGGCCTGAAGAACTCGGTGATTGTGGTCACAGATGTTTATAATGTTGGCTTCCCTATCACTGTATTTTGGCAGCTGGAATGGTTTACTCTTGAAATCAGGACTTGTAGGGCAATCTGAGGTGGAAGCTTTCCTCTCAAGTTGAACCTGTAGGAACGTGAGAGTCAGCCTGAGGCTCAACCTACTGCCTACTCCTTTTCTCGTTGCAATAATTTTGTAGATATCTAAGTCCTGATAAAGAAAACCTTTTTTCTTGGTAAATGTAGAGGGATTTTTGTATCCTGCTCAAACCCTAGCTGATAAAAAGATTTGTTAGCTACAAGAATCCCAGGAAAATAACCCAACTAAAGAGAGAAAATGATAAAAAGAGACAGGAGACTAATACAATCCCAAGTTGCAAAATAACTGAGCTGCTTGGGAGCTAGAAAGTCCTTCAAATCTTTTCTAATGACTTGTCTACTTGCCCATTGCCTTCACCTAGGCGGGTGTGTCTACATGACCTTTCAGTTCTTTTACTCAGTTAACCAACAAATTCCAAATTCCTGGAAAACCTGGTACCTATACCTTGTTTTAAACAGAGAGATGGTGTTATGTTCCATAAAGCTGCTTCTTTAAAGCAGCAGACAAGTTCTCTAAAAGGAAACATCGGATATCTATAGAACACAAGCTTGGAAGACTGAGTTCCCCATTTCCATGGGCTCATGCTTCTATCTGAAGGCACTCAGGATAGAGTAAAATTTTAAAATATTAATATAGAGGGTGTATTTTCATTCACTGGTATTGCCACAATAAAATACCAAAGATAGAGTGACTTTAACACCAGAATTCTATTTCTCACAGTTCTGGAGGCTGAAAGGCCAAGATCTAGCTGTTAGCATGCTTGGTTTCCTTTGAGGTGTCTCCCCTTGACTGGCAGCCAGCTTGTCACTCGGTGCTTCCCCAGTCTTCCCTGTATGCAAGCAACCCTGGTGTCTGTGTGTCTAAATGCCCTCTTTTTATAAGAATGCTATCCAGATAGGATTAGGATCCACCCCAATAACCATATTTAACTCAATCAAAACAATCAAAATTTCAACTTAATGTTAACTGTATCTCCAATTTAGGTCACATTTCTGACTGAGATGCTGAGGTTTGGGTTTCAAAAGATGAATCTGGTAGGGGGATACAATTTAGCTCTTAACAGCAGCTATCCTTAAACAGGTTTTTTTTTTTTTTTAAGATTTATTTATTTATTCGTACAGAACTGGGGTACAGGCCAGAGATACGGAGGGTGAGAGGATTCACCAGAGACAGAGCGGGGAGCAGAACAGGCAGATCGACGAAGTACACTGCTGAGGGGAGCAGCGTGCGGGTCAGGAGATGTCTGCCGGGCCATGTGGATCACCCCGGGGGCAGGCGGGCAGGCGGGGATCGAACTCATGTGGAAGTGGCTTAGCTTCCTAGTGCTGTGCTTTAACCCGCTGTGCCACCAGGGAGGGCCAAACATGGTTTTATCTGAAGAAAAAACTTCAGAATTTTGTCTTTAGGTATGAAACGCTGATATACAACATGAATAACACTTGAAAATAGTAGGCAACAAACACAAAAGGCTACATATTATATGACTCCATGATTCAGAATAGACAAATATAGGAATTATATTGCAGATTACCAGGAGTGGGGAGAAAGGAATTGGGTGACTGCCTGCTAATGGGTGTGAATTTTCATATTTGGGTGATAAAAATGTTCCAAAATTATATTGTGGTGATTATTGCTCAAATCTGCGAATATACTAAAAACCACTGAATTGTAAACTTTTAGTCAAGGATGAATTATAGTTCCAGAAAGATGTTTAAAAATATTTAAAGAAGAAATAAGTACTCTTAAAAAACTTTGCTTTAAATAGTTAATATTCAACTTACATGTTCAAATTTTAAAAATCTTTGCTTTAGTTAATATTCAACTTGTAAGTTGAAATTTTAATGTACTACTTAAACACTCGGTTTAAAATTTAGATTATAGCTCTTACTATTCTAGTTTTATTCTAGAGATGTTAGGTGAACTTCAACAGTCATTCGGAATTTGCCTTTAACTACCTTTAGGTCTCATTCACATATTATTTAATTAATCATCTTCAAACAAACATCTTAAACTGTATTTACAAATGTAATGTTTTATTCCACTTATAAGTTTTTCAAATGCTTGACACCTTCCTGAATCCTTACATATTAATTTAAAAATTAGTCATGAAAATATGCTGAAACTAAATTTCTCTTAGCTGTTCAGGGACCATCCATAAACTTAGTAAGATTCCCATTTAAAATTAGAAATCAAAATCAATTACCCAATTTGTATTTTAACTTTTAATTAAAGCTGTCATTCAATGAAGCCAAAGTCACTTACATAGTCTAAGTACAAAAAAACATCTGATATACAGAGGGTCTATTTAAGGTTATGGTTAATTCTGCTATACTTCTTTCATCTTAATTTAAACATGCATATGCTTTAAATCAGCCAGGTAAACTGAGATTAACTGGACCACAGGTCTTGGTAGGTTATACATTTGGAAATACTGAAACTCAGAATGATTCATCTCTCTGTTCTATCACATCTAGTCCCTTTTTATAGTTACTCAGTCTTGAGCTACAAACACTGAAGCAAGGTGCTGGGTTCAAATTGCATACATTATCTGACTATCTACTCACAAAAACCTGTAGTTTTCCTCCAGGTAAATTGCTTGATTAGCATCAACAACTGATAGACATTGAACAATTTGCTGTTCTTTTGTTTTGCAGTAGGATGCAAAAGGAACAAAGTCCCTGTGCTTTCTGTTTCATGGCAGCCCAGATTGAGTAGAAGAATACATCTGTAGCCTAGAAATGTTAAGTATGTTATTTTTTGAGAAGCGCTACAGAAAAGAAAAACTTATTAGATTTCATTTTTTTACTTCAAGTATGATTTTTGTTTAACATCACAAAGTATTCATATTTAACTAGATATTACACTAAATACTGCATATATATTTAAAATAACTTCTGCTTGTAATTTGAAGAGAGATGAATCATTCTGAGTTTCAGTATTTCCAGATGCATAATCTAACAAGATCTGTGGTCCAGTTAATCTCACATGTGGTTTCCTCTGACTTGTCTTCACAATTTCTGAGGTCACCATATTATCATGCATTAAACCTGTTGTAAAATTTTGCATTTTTGCTCTGTTCACTCATGCAGTAGGCTGAGGGAAATGTTATACTAAGTGCTGTGCTAAATTCTGGGTTATACAAATAAATACATTTTCTTGAGTTTAAGAAGGTTAAGTTCCTAAATGGGGGAGATGCTATATTAACAGAAAATCATTGGAAGTACCTGCTCAACATCTGTCTTCTTCCATTGAAAAAGAGGTCAATGGCAATGTTTCACAATGGCAATTCCTTGTTAATCATATTCTCTGCTATTATCACTACCACCTAGTACATAATGACATTCCGTATTTATTAAGTAAATGAGTACATGCACAAGATAGTTACATATAGAGAGCTTCAGGAGCCCCAGCATAAACATATGCCTCTATGTTTTTTCTAAGGCTATTGGGCTGGATGGGGTGATGAGGGTGTCACTCAAGAGCTATCAGAAAAAAATTCTTGGAGATCAGAGCTTCAAAGAGGCTTGAGAGATAAGGAAATTAAGTCCGGTACAAGTGGAATTTGGGGATGACTTAGGACTTTCCATATAATTGCTGAAGAACTTCAGGTACTTCCTGAATGCCAAGGAGTAGGTATGTAGTAGAGAACTCTTGAAGGGTTTTGTAGACTATTTTTATAGTTTCCATTTTAATGTCTATAGCAATTTGCTGATTTTTACAAGTTTTCCCTCTACCTCTATTACACCAGTAATTCACTGACACTGTAGACTACCTCTCGGTTTATTTAGGTTCCCAGCATCATGATGGAGGTTGAGTAGCTCCTGGAAAATTGCTGCAGGATCGAATTCATGGATGGATGCATGAAAAGTAATAGCAGTGTGAGCACTGGGCAATGATTTTAGATGGCAAAAGATGACAGCAAAGGAGCCCATAAAAGGCTGGATAGAGTAGTTAAGGGCAAAGCAAAGGGCGAGATTGGTGTCCTATTTCCGAAATAAGACCAGAGACGTGAATGTGTGTGCTTTCAAGCTTCTTTCCTAGCAGAAAAATGAAGAAACCCGAAATAAGCACCTTAGACTTGATTAGGGTTTTTCAATTGTCAGGTCTCAAAGGCAGGAAAGGGCCTGGCATGTTAGCTAGTTGACACCTGCCCAGCGAAGAGAGAACAGACCGCTGGACTGCACTCTGCAGCAGGCTCGGCAAACAACTGGACAACAAGGCGCCGAGCGGGTGGTGGAAAAGAGGAAAGCAGGCTGTGTCCCTGGGACTCCACGGCTGTCAGCAGCGCTAAGCGGCCTGGCACTGAGTACTGGAGAGACTTAGCAACCACCAGTCCTCGCGAGCGCGGAGACGCCGAGCCTCGAGAGGGCGGAACGCGAAAGGCTGGCATTCTGGATCTCGCCGGACGCACTTTCCAGTCGCACCCGCAAGCTCCCGGCGGGCGGTGGAGTGTCTTCCCCGCCGGTAGGGCGGCCAGGGTAGGGCTGGGGAAGCCGGACTCAGTGTCCTCCTTGGACGCCATTCTAGCTGGATAATCTGGAACTGCACAAGGCTTCCGGTTTCTCTCCTCAGCCGACGGTTAGGAGGCACAGCTGTCTCCGGAGGCGCGGAGGCAAGTCCTTACGCCTTCCGATCACAGCCTCTGGGACCCGAGAGGACGGCCACCCGCGGCTGACTCCTCCCGGCAGAAGGCGGTCGGCCCAGTTCCCGACGAGGTGAGCTGGGGGAGCGCTCTGGGCCCCCACTGCTACTTCCGGGACACGCTGCGGAAAGCCGGCCAGCCTTGGGGACCCCACCTTTTCTCGGATTGGTTAACTGCTCTCCTAATGTGCTCCCCTAACTGGTGATTGGCTCAGATACACCGTCTGTCACCTGCTTCCCTGTGGGAATCTAGGTCGCTAAGGGAAGCGTTACTCGGGCTCGGTTGGGAAGAGGTTGGTTGGGCTCTTGAGCCCAGTTTATTGTAGTGGGGGCCCTTACCCCGGCGCGAGCTTCGGTCGCAACGGCCAAGAAAGAAACCAGTAGCTGGACGGAGGGCAGGGCTGACGAGAAAGTGAAGGATGACAAGTAAACGGGAGAAACCTAACCCTGGCAGCGTCCAAAAGGGACGAGAGAGGAAGGCAGGCCTTGGAGAGAGTGGAGTGGTAGTCCCTGGAGCAGCGACCGTGTAGGAGGAGAGGCCTAGTCTCTGTCGTGGGAGAAAGGGCCTTGCGGGAGATTTTCATGACCTAGCTGTTTGGGGATCTAATTTGCTAGATGAATGCCTAACAACATTTGCCAGAGTTTTTGCTGTGACTTTGTGGTCGAATAGAGACTATCAGGCAGTCCTGGCTTCAAAGACACGATGTACTAAGTAATTCAACTCTCTTTTATTGCTTCAGATGGGCCGCTTTCAAAAGCACAAACAATTGAAGGATGGATACCATTGCATATGTTAAACACATATTAAAAGGAGCATAAGGTATTCCCTTTGTTTTAATTGTGGTTGCTTGTTCAAGAAGTTACCTTTGAGGAAAAGCTCTTGAACTCTGAATATTAGAATAGCTTGGTTTTGTAGGTTTCACTTTTTTAACCATTTAATACAAAAATATTATACTGCTGTGCCCTACCATATATGCTCTTTACTAATGATGAGTTAGTCCTTAATATTCTGAAATTGGAAATTTTGCATTTCAGTCTGTTACTTCACTTTTGATTGTGTAATATAACGTTAGAATAAGCATGACATTGAATAGGTTATTATTCATACAGTTGGGACTTGTAGAACAAATTTCACTGTGTTTAAGATAGTATACTTATTAAGCTCTGAGTCTTGAGTTGCAACAGTTGCTTCACTGGTAACTTTTTGATCGGCCAGTCTCTATTATGTCATGTGACATACAAAAAACTGTCTAGGAGTAGTTTATTTTTATTTCTTCCACAGAATACTCAAATTAGCTTTTAAAGATAGACTTAAGCCCATCCTGGAAATTTCTGATTTAAGAGTGGGGATGAGAACTGATATCTCTCTCTTTTTAAGATCCTCAAGTAAGTTTTAGGTAAACTCCCAATTGAGAACTGTTGCTTTAAAGATCTACTGTCTAGATATGTTTCAGTAATTGTAAACCAGTTATGAAACAAATAATTTTCTCCTTGACTTTCTTATAGTTTAGAAGTAAGCTTCTAAGAAATGACATTTAAGTATAACCCAAAAATTGTGTTTTGCCAAGGCAAGATCAGGAAGTTTCACTGTCTTTGGAAATTTCTGGGACTAACTATTCTAGGCTCAAAGATAAAATTTGGTATGGAGAGACATAAAGTGTTCTCATGTACTCTCACAATCCCCAGAGCCAGGCATGGGGTGTTGTTTCCTGTTAGATTTCAAAATTTCCTGTTAGGCTTAAGGACAGATCAACTCTAAGTCTGTTCAGTAGATACAATGCACTAAGTTATTTTTACCTCATCAAAATTGGGGGTTGGGGTGGGTGGTATTATGATAGTTATAAGTTTTATTTTGGGAATAATTTTGCTGGAAATAAATGTAAATAATAACTCTCCCAGTAACCTTTTGTATATTAAGTAAAGATTGTGTTTAAATTTTGTTTGCTATTTGAAACATCAGTGAGGGTTTCTAGACTAGTTTAACTATAGAGTCAGATAGGTAAATATGAAATAAGCACTCTGTATTCAGATATGAGAAACATGCAGTGCAACTGTACCTAGTCTGACTTACTGGCATTAGGCAAAGAAGGATGTGCAGTTGTTTATATCTCCTTGAAACTGCATTTTATATGTAAGTTGTTTACTGCAGACTTAGCTTACGAGAATAGGAAAATAAAAGGAAAATTTAAAAGCTATAAGTTAAAAACATGGAACCATATGTAGTCCATTACTAATGCCTTGAATTTTGTATATGTGTTTTTTGAAAAGAAAGCTGGGAATCTCAGTATGAATCAGTTTAGATCTAGATCAGATGATGTTGGTGAAGAAACTTCATCTCAAGACCATAATCATCATGAAAATGAGAGAAGATGGCAGCAAGAACGCCTTCACAGAGAAGAAGCCTATTATCAGTTTATTAATGAACTCAGTGATGAAGATTACCGCCTAATGAGAGACCATAATCTTTTAGGCACCCCTGGTAAGAAATGGGTGAAAGTGGAGATAACTTTTTTGTTGTTATAAGGAGGAATTTCAAGATAAGAGTGTCAGTTCCCCCTTATACCCTCTTCTTAAAATTATTTAAATGATTCTGTGAAACTAAGATTCTGTGAGCTTTTTAATATAACAAAATAGAAAATCACTGACTTACTTGTGAATGTTGTAAGGTAAGACTACTGGGTGTAGAGCACAGTTATGCAAACAACAAACCAACAAATAGGTTAATAATAGTGTTAGATATTGCATATATGGTTCTATTTCTCTGAAATAAAAAGCAATATTTGCACAAATAAAATATTATAAAACCCAATTCTAACTCATTTGACAAGTTACATTTTCTTTGAATAGCTATAGTAAGTAGCTGAATTAATAACTTCTAAAAAGTCATGTGCCCCAGTTTTTTTTCAAATTCATCTCATAAGTGAACCAATTGAAAATTGTAATTTGTACATTAACCTGTATACTACATATTTGCATAGTGTATATACATGTAGCATGCATATACAATTGAAGTAAAATTCAAGTAAACTCAGTTTTCTCTAGAAATATTTCCTTCTAGTTTCTTTTTTTTTCCTTCTAGTTTCTTTTTAACTGTGACAAAAATTTAAAAAATTGTATCTTGGGCCCTCACTGGTGGCACAGTGGGTTAGGTCGCAGCTCTGCAAGTGAGCCTCAGCCGCTTCATTGTGAGTTTGATCCCCTGCCCCAGAGGTGATCCACATGGCATGGTAGACCTCTCCTGACCCACCTGCTACTCCCCTCAGCAGTGTACTTTATGATCTGCCTGTTCTGCTCCCCACTCTGTCTCTGGTGAAGCCTCTCACTGCCTCTGCACCTCTGGCCTGTACCCCAGTTCTGTATGCATAAATAAATAAATCTTAAAAAAAAAAGTTAAAAAAAATTGTATCTTACATGTTCCTAAGTGTATGAAGAGAGTACTTTATTCAAATTAAATCTTATTTTAATTTTCATAAAACATTAATGCAACATAAAATTATCTGTATTTGTATCAGTTGAATATTTTTAACTATCTTCAGTTTACAGAACAATAGAATGACTTTTATAGATTGGTAAAGATTAGTTTTACCTTTCATAAGTTCTCTTAAAACCTAGTAATTGAAAACTTTTAATTTTAATGAGCAATTTTTCATTGTTTTAGGGGAAATAACAGCAGAAGAACTACAACAGCGGTTAGATGGAGTTAAGGAGCAACTAGCATCTCAGCCTGACTTGAGAAATGGAACAAACTCTAGAGGTACTGTGTCCTCTTTCCCTTAAGGAACAGGTTTGATTGCAGCAAGTTGCAGAAATGAACTTGTTGGAGCGTATGAGTTTATTTTAATGTGTTCTTGTTTTAATGTGATATTTATATCATATTTATATTTTATATCCAAATCAGTATAGGTCGGCAGTATAGGACAGTTATATTGAATTCAGGGGTTGAGTATAAAGACATGTTAGACATGGGTTGCCTTCAAGGAGCTCAAATATAAAAACAGTGTATCATTAGGATAATCACCATCATGGTTCAATTCTAGAATGTATATACTACCATTTTTTTAGAGTAGTATAACTAATCTTAGCTCCAAAAAATTTATATGGAGCAATATGAAAAAACTGAGTTAGAAAACCTGTTCTTGTCATCGTTTTTTTATGTTTTGTCATTTTATTGAATGACTACTAAGTCATGATATAAGACATCCATATTAAAACAATGTGCTTATAAAAACAATTCACACTTAGCAGAAGTAAATTGAATTCAAAGTAAAGTCAAATTTAATGTCTCTCTTACCAAATCTATTTCCTTTCCCAAAACTATTCATCAAAATGTAGTTTCACGTATTATGTCAAGGTTGTTATATTAGTTAGGAAAAAGACTATTAAAAACCTCAAAATGCTGTAACTCAGTAAAATAGTTTATTTCTCTTTCACGTTAACAGTTCAGGGATAGGCAAACTTTGGGCCACAAATCCTCCTGGGACCCACACATCTAGCAGAGTTGATCTGCAGCTCTGCTGTCCAATACTATAGTTACTAGTCTATACCTAACTAACTGTATACATTAAGTAAAGTGTAATTTAAAATTCAGTTATTCAGTCATATTAGCACATTTAAGTGCTTTAATAATCACATGTGGCTAATGGCCGCTGTATTAGACAGCACAGACATTTTAACATTTCCACTATTGCAGAAAATTTTATTGAACATTGTTCTAGCGTATTATCTTTTGATCATGCTAAAGCAGAGCAACATCTAGGTTTCAGCTGTCAGGAAGGAGCTCCAGGCATCAGCTTAAAAGTGAAATGTATCAATTCTACAGCCATTTCATGGATGAGAACTCAGTCACATGGCCACATCCAGTGCCAGTATATCCAAGTGACCTTTGCAGTGCAGTTGCAATGGGAAAGGATTTTGCTAGATGTTAATGAAGTTTTTCACCTTGTCCTCAACACTGCATTCTAGTAATTAAAGAAGTAGCATTTAAAATGACTAATCTGACCTGTTTTTTACTCTCATTATTTTCCAAATTAAAATGGAAATCTCATGTTAACCCTTTATCTTCTTTATGTTTAAATATAAACTACACTATATTGGTATAAATGTTAATTCTGTTTTTTTTAATATGTTTTGTTGGAAAATGTGCTCATCACCTGTAAAATAGCTTATGTCTTTATAATATGGCTAAAGTTACTATTTATTTTATTGATAACAACTGCTATTTAACAGCTTTAACTTCAGTATTTTAAAGTTGTTTTTTTTTAATGGAACATTGCAGTTAACGAAATAAAACCAAACAAACTCAAGTAATAGCTGTCTTTGAGTAGAACAAACTTTAAAGTACGTATAAATAATGTGCATTTAGAATGTTTTTCATTGAGTTTTATACTTTTTATAATCTACATAAAAATGGAAAACTTAAGTTTCCCATAGTAGCAGTATTATAATCAAGGAAGTTTATGTGTGGTACTTTTTTTTTTCTAAATTGATTCATTCAGAAATTTAATTGACAGTTTGATTGTACCAGAAATCATTGTAGAGGCTGGGATTTAATAGTGAATAAGACCAGACAAAACTCTTTGTCTTCATGCAACTTACATTCTATATGAACAGAAAATAAATTTATTTTGCTATTGCAACAAAATAAATTTTTGGAGTGCATCCCATGTGACAGGTATTGCACTGAACATTTTATACCTTGGTATCTTATCCTCATGATAATGTATGTAGCCATAAAGAACTTAAATAACATGCCTAAATTTTCCCAAAAAGCAGATAATGTGGCTCTAACATGTAAAATTAGCTTTCTTAAGATAAATCCTCTTTATAGAAAGTTCAGGGTTTTATCACTTATTGAAATTCTCCAGTGTTCTTGACTATTTCATGTAGTAAAAACTCTTAAGTGTTTGATAAAAATTAAAAGATGGAATTTTGAAATTGATCTTAAGTTGATTGAATTTGCCTTCCAGACTCAGAAATTCCAAGAGAAAGTTCTAATGAAGATTCTCTGCTAGAATGGTTGAATACCTTTCGTCGCACAGGAAATGCAACTCGAAGTGGACAAAATGGAAACCAAACCTGGAGAGCTGTGAGTCGAACAAACCCAAACAGTGGAGAGTTTCGATTTAGTCTGGAAATCCACATAAATCACGAGAATAGAGAATTTGAAATTCATAATGAAGATTATACTGGTATTCCACTTTCAGATGTTAGCAGAGCTGATACTACAGATAGGCAACAGAGATCAACTAGTCCTGTGGCTAGGCGAACAAGAAGCCAAACCTCAGTGAATTCCAGTGGCCGCAGTTCCAACATTCCAAGGACTAGACTTGGTTCAAGGGGGCAGAATTCAGTAGAAGAATCTTTTTCAACATTTGGAAGATTAAGAAATGGAATTGGCGGAGCAGTTGGCAATCCTAGTGCTCCACATGCTAATTTCAGTAGCCATACAAACCAATTAGGTAGTAGTGAACTCAGGCAAAGGGAAGGGCAACGATTTGGAGCAGCACATGTTTGGGAAAATGGGGCTAGAACTAATGTTACAGTGAGAAACACAAACCAAAGATTAGAGCCAATAAGATTAAGGTCAACTTTCAGTAGTCGAAGCCGTTCACCAATTCAGAGACAAAGTAGTCCTGTTTATCATAATTCACAAAGGGAAAGTAGACCTTTACAGCAAACGCTTAGAAGAAGATCTGTTAGGAGGAGAGGTATAACTCGTGTCTTTTTAGAGCAAGATAGAGAACACAGAGGTGCTGCATATACTCCACTCTCTAATTCAAGACTTGTGTCAAGAATAACGGTAGAAGAAGGAGAAGAACCCAGCAGATCTTCAACTCTTATACGGCGACATCCAACAATCACACTGGACCTTCAAGTGAGAAGGATTCGACCTGGAGAAAGCAGAGATCGGGACAGTATTGCAAATAGAACTAGATCTAGAGTAGGCTTAGCAGAAAACACAGTTACCATTGAAAGTAATAGTGGGGGCTTTCGTCGAACTATTTCTCGTTTAGAGCGGTCAGGTATTCGAACCTATGTTAGTACTATAACAGTTCCTCTTCGTAGGATTTCTGAGAATGAGCTTGTTGAACCATCATCAGTGGCCCTTCGGTCAATTTTAAGGCAGATCATGACTGGATTTGGAGAATTGAGTTCTCTAATGGAGGCTGAATCTGAGTCAGAGATTCAGAGAAATGGTCAATATTTACCAGAGAGACACTCAGAACTGAGTACAGTTCATGGCAGCAGCCCAGAGAATGAAGGTTCCTCTCAAGACAGGCAGGCCCTAGAAAATAGTACTGAAATGCGAGGTGAGGATGACATGACCCAGCTTCATACCCAAAATAGTGATAATAGAGGTGTCAGGCAGCTGCGAAACTCAAATAACTTAGTTGAAACTGGAACACTACCTATTCTTCGCCTTGCTCACTTCTTTTTACTAAATGAAGGTGATGATGATGATCACATACGTGGTTTAACCAAAGAGCAGATTGACAATCTTTCCACCAGGAACTATGAGCATAGTAGTATTGATAGTGAACTAGGTAAAATCTGTAGTGTGTGTATCAGTGACTATGTAACTGGAAACAAGCTCAGGCAATTACCTTGCATGCATGAATTTCACATCCATTGTATTGATCGATGGCTGTCAGAGAATTGCACCTGTCCCATCTGTCGGCAGCCTGTTTTAGGGTCTAGTATAGCAAACAATGGTTGAAGTGGTGGGTTGATTCAGACACTACATTTTAGTAGAGCTGAGTATTCAAGCATTCTTTTGTTGAATTATTTGTGATGAGCTAACAAGGATGAGATATAACAGATAATTATAGTTTGAAATACTTTTTGTGTGCTTTTTTAAATTGTTTAGAAGAAAATTTATATAAAATTTAAAATGCAAATGTTAAATTATCCAAAAATACAGAGTAGTTATTATTGCTAGAACCAAATAACCTTTAAGATACTTTTATTTTGGTAATTTTGTCATGCTAAGCACTTTTGTATTTGCACTCTTCAGTTGATTAAACATCACTCTTTATTTTCTTGATAGTACAGCAGATTTTACTTGGGCTTTTTGAAGTTCCATAGGCTTAATGCTGTACCAAGATATTGGTGTCTAAATAAACCTTTCATTAATTTCTTATTTTAAGGACATTATCTTTCATGAAAGAGTGTTCATGAATGTTTACTAAATGTGTTTAAGTTACTTGAAATGTTAAATTTAATATGCAACATACCATATGTGTGTATATATATAATTTTAAGTTTAAAATATTCAGTCTAGAAACTGCCAGTTTAGTTCTTATTTAAACTTTTAGGCTATTACTGCATATGGCACAGTATTTAATATTTACAGGATCATCTCTGGGAAGAAGTGGGTTCAGATATCTACAAATAGAGAATTTACTGAAGCGTCTCTGACAATCTGACTTATTAGCAAGCAATATATAATACTGAACACGTTTTTATTGAGTAATGAAACGTGGGCATTTTAGAACATACAAGCTGTTTAATTTGAATTCAACTTTTTGTGATTCTTTTTGAAAATGCAAATGATTCTTTGGTTTATATTAAGGTATACAATATGCATGGTTTCTCAAAAGTTTTAAAATCTAACAAATCTGTAAAGAATCAAATGTATAGATAACATGTTAAGTTCACTTGGGGGCCAAAAACTCCAAATAAAACAAAAACTCCTTAAGAGAATGTAGAATTTATATAAAAAGTATGCACTGAAAATCTATTTCTATCAATAAATATTAAAACAGTTGTATGTGAACTCTTCT